GTTGGAAGATAGACGGCGCAGTCTTAACTCCAAAAGGTAGACGGTTATACTGAAACAAACCGCGATGAGTGTTGATAGTAAGCAGCTCTTTAGATGCTTCATCGACTTCCACTTGCAAATAAGCATCAGCTAGGTCAAGCTTTGCGAAGAACTTTCCCCCATTCAGCATAGTGAACAGATCTGCCGGGACTGGCAGAGGATAATGATGCTGTTCTAGAGCTGCGTTGAGACCTGTAGAGAAGTCAGCACATATACGTATCGTGCCGTTGGCCTTCTTGATAACGACTATAGGTGCTGCCCAACTGGAGTAAGAAACGGGAGTAATAACTCCTTGTCGTTGAAGGCGATCCAGCTCTTCATCTACTGTTGCTAATGTAGCATACGGTACAGGTCTCTTTGGACGAAAAGCAGGCTTAGCCCCATGTTTCAACCGAAGTGTTGCTTTCATAGCAGTGCACCGACCTAATCCAGGTTCAAAAATGGTTGAAAACTCTGTCATCAGCTTCTTCGTATACGCTTCTGGGTCATGTCGTTGTGATACCAGGTTGCATATGGTATTTAGCGGGACATCAGCCAATTTTAGCTGGTCGAACCAATCTAAACCAAGTAAATTTAGATCAGCTGGCGTTATATAGCATACCCCAGTAAACGACGAATCCCGGAAAGCAACTTTACATTCCAATTGTCCTAACAGACGAAGATAATTACCACATGCTGTGCGAGGCTTTTGTGTTGTGTGCTGCAGGCTTGGGCTGCCCAACTTGGTCCAATTTTTGCGTGAGAGGATAGTGACATCAGATGCAGTATCTATTTGCATTCTACACAAATGACCGTTAATATTAAGAGTAATAAATTTCCTCTCACCTGGTGATGAACTTTGGCAGGAAGATATTAGGCTCAATGCATTGGTACTGGATCTAGGAAGAGGCTTCTTAGCACTTCTGGATCGCTTTGGCTTTTTCTGTAGGCAAAAGCCATCTTTATGACCGATGACTTTACACTTCCTGCATCTATGCTGCCTAAATGGGCAGTTCCGTACATAGTGCCATGAACCGCAGTGCCAGCAAGCAGAAGGTGGATTCATTTTGGGTTTTTGGGCCGAATTGGAGCGGGGTGAACTGGGTGTAGCACGGGCAGACTTATAATGATTAGGTGGCTGCTGTACCAAATGAATTTCAGATCGGCTTGAACTACCACTCTGAACTATAGTCGAGTCTCGTTGTAGGTCAGTGAGACGTTGGTACTCATGAGCCATATCATTAAGCGTAAGCTTTGGATCTTGCTCCAACCGACTTAGTAGCCTTGTTCTAATGTCACTGAACTTACTCGACTGGAGGCTGCAGATGAGAATGAGGGCTTTGAACTGGTCTTCCGACAAAGACTTCAACCGAAAGCGTTCGCATTCACGGTTGACGATGCCCACGTGCGTAAGAAAATCATCATCTTCGTTCATAATAAGCTTCAAACATCGATAACGAGTATTAAATAGTGACGAGTTGTCTCCAAAGTGTTGGCTTAAAGTCTGAACAGTCTCAGAAAACGAACAATCTCGTGGGTTCAAATTCATTTGTTTCCTTAACAGCTCCAACATACGTTCCTGCAACTGTTCATATCGTTTACCTTGACGTTCCAGTAAAGATTCTAACTGTTCAAGGTTAATTGACATTGTGAATTGTGAGCCCCGTCGCCACTGATATGTTCGTCACTTAGGATGCTTGATGCTATTACGAGTTTACCTTAGTCGATAAACGCGAACGATGCTTTTACCAGCTTCCAGGAAGGCTACCTTGAATCCAACGGTAAAACAGAAGTCTTGGTAAGCGTAGAAAGTATATTCTACAAACACCCAGCAATCCCAGTACAGTCAAGCATACAACTCTCGTTTATTTATACAACATAACAACGTCCTTGAGACAGTTAAGAAAATAGCATACTAAAATACACAGCAGCCAATCACAGCCATTGATTTTCCTGGTGGGAATTGAAATCTCAAGGTCATTTGATCAGCCCCTGCTGGCGAAACGTAAAAACCAAAATACGGCATTATCATGCGAATTTTGGGGATCTAACATCCCCAACAATAACAACAATTGTATGCTGACCAATGATTAGCTTCAAGACGTATTGCTGGAGTTCTAGTGAGAAGCCATGACTAGAGGAGTTCAATATGATTCATGTAGAATAGTTATCTGCTTTAAGAAATGAATGCAACGTACAAATGGGTTGAAGCTTGACATTAACACCATTGAATGTACGCTCTGAGGTTACGCATTTGTGCGCGTGTGGGTAAGATTTCCACGTAAACACGAAATATTGGTGCACGTCACTGATGAGCAGCCTCATACTAGGTAGGACAAAAGAGCTATTCAGAGCTCCCAAATTTCTAATAATAGTCTAGTTAAGATCGATTATATAATGTCAACCATGAAAATAATAATTTATATAAATTCATTGAAATAGAGCTTCAACTAACCTTATAATTTAAAAGTTCTTGAACAAGATGTATGGAACAGAATTTGTCTTCTTTATCCAATTTTTCAATTGGTGGACCTAAAGCTTCCGGTTCATCTGGACTAAGAATGAAAGATTGCAATTCCGATAAAATAGCATTGGCAGTGGCAGTGTTGGTTGTATGTTTATTTTCAATTGACCATGACCATATACGATCGCCATCTGCTGTGATATAATCATCATCACAACCTTGATGCCAAACTAAATCTGGATTGGTTGAATGATATACTTCACCAGTGAATGATTCAATCTTTTTATCACTTGATGAAGTTGTGCCCAATAGGCCAAGACCACTTCGACCTTTTTGTTTACTTAATGCAACTGGTTCCACTACACCATGTGCATGCATACCTAAGCCTTGACCATGTTCATAACCCATTTTTCCCTAGTTTTTTTTTGATTATCAAATAAAAATCAATAAATTTGAAGTAATGTTGCTTTATTCATTGATATAATAAATGAGATATTTAAATTATTTAGTAAATATTCTGTTTTTATTTTCTACATTTAATGTTAAACACACTTAATTATTGGTACACAGAAACAATTCAATGTTTATGCATTGTCATACTGTGGTGCGCGCTACTTATAAGTAGTATATGACGCGAGTGTTAACGTAATGTCTGACAGCAGAAGATGGGGGGGAAGATCAACAAGAAAGTAAGAAGAGTGGGAACACAATGGAATTTGTATGAAACGCATGAATAGTGAAATGTCAGTCAATGGATTGATGATGGATTGAAGATTTGCAAATTAACAACGGTTTACGATATGGTTTTCCGATTTTACTAAGTAACTCTGTAATTTTCGTTAAATACAATTCGGTTGCCCTCACCTGTGTTCTCCTTCACTACAATACAAACATTGAATTTGTCAATAGACTGAAATACTACTCGTCTGCCTAAACTGAACCACATCGAAGTCTTCTTAGGTAGGCCATTCCTCCAGCCTTAGACTTATAGGTCAATGGGAGCGATATCAGATATACTCCGATAGGCGGTGACCAACAATACGTCCATATGTCATTCGTTCCGCTAGGATACTAGAATCCATCTCACTGATGATTTGGAATTAAAGTCTTCCAGCTCCCTTAGGTGGATTCTTCATACACGGACAATTAGTTTTCTTTCTTCCAGTTTTGTAAATAAACTAGTGAACGAGAACACAAGTAGGGGCAACCGGATTGTATTTAACGAAAATTACAGAGTTACTCAGTAAAATTGGAAAACCATATCGTAAATTGTTAATTTGCAAAATATCAGTTCATCATATCGAACTGGACTGTTCCTGTTGCATAACATCAATCCATTGTCACTATTCATGCGTTTCATACAAATCCCATTGCGTTTTAACTCTTCCTTTCTTGATCTTCCGCCATCTTCTGCTGCCAGACATTACGTTGACACATCATATACTACTTATAAGTAACTCGCACCACACCATGACACAAGAATGTGACAAGTGGAACTTTCCTATCAATGGACTTGTGAGAAGTGACTCTTTTCACAATCAATCATAGCAGATTTTTTTTAGGGGATTTCAAGATTTACTACTTATTCAACTTGTCTTCCATTATACTATCATCAGAATATAACACTGGGACATATGTCGCAATATAAGAATTTGATATATCAAAGGATAAAACTCAATGTTAAGCCTTATGACGCTGGTCGACTGATTAAATCACAGCAAGTAGAGTTACCTATTATTTGAAAGGTAAATATATGCCTTGAAAATTGAATCCCTATCTTGATTACGTAACTTATGCTTTTTTCTACTAATACAGCACGCACACACACACACATCAATTCTAAAACAAATTCAAAACGATACTAGTAAGAATAACATTGTAGGGCGAAATTCTCATTTTGTGACTAGATCACTCATTGATTAGTAAACGCAGTTTATCCACTTTTTCCCTAGCATTTCACTGGTTAAATCGACGACTATTGACAAACTGGCTGGTTAAAACACATTTTGCATAGATAGACATTTTGTACTAGTCATTATAATTACATTGGACTGCCGTTTTACGATTGATTACTGTTGATGTCTTATCAGCTTAAATGTAACCTTGAATTCAATTGAACTCCGCTTGTAAACCCTTCGGAGCTACTGCTGATCTCAAGCCCGGATAAAGGAGGAGAAGTTGAACATGGGGTTGGCGCCCTCATCCCAAATATAAACTAAATTGCTAAAAAAAGCTAACCAGAAGAAATAATTTAAGCCACTTTAAATCTGCCCTGGGAGTTGGAAGAAGAATTATGACGTCCTGTGATGAAAGCCGAGTTTCCTCGGAAGTCACAAGGCCGATGCCTCTTCTGACAACCAGAGCAACCATATTCTTATGTACATGGAATGTTCGTACATTGTAGGAGACTGGAAAACTATTTCAAGTAGCTGCAGGAACTAAAATATACGATCTCCAGCTGCTCGGCATCAGTGAAACGCATTAGACACAGGTAGGACAAATGAGACTACCTTCAGGGGATCTGCTGTTATACTCTGGTCATGAAGAGGAAAATGCTTCACATACACAAGGAGTTGCACTGATGCTGTCCAAACAAGTACAAAAGGCTCTGATAGGATGGGAATCTCATGGACTCAGGATCATTAAAGCATCCTTCAAACAATGACGACGTTGAAGATCAATTCTACGAAAGGCCGCAGTCAATCGTCGACATATGCTCGCAAAAGGATTTGACCATTCAAATAGGAGACCTAATTGCCAAGGTTTGCATGGACAACATTGGATATCAAGACATCATGGAACGACATGGACTGGGAGAAAAGAACAAAAACCGTGAGAGATTTTCAAGGCACAAGCTCATACACAGAAGCGAACAGGGAAGTGAAGAAGAGCATCAGAGCTGACAAACGAAAATATGTGGAACATCTAGCAATGACGGCGGAAAAGGCTGCAAGAAACGGAAACTTGAGACAATTGTACGAAACAACGAAGAAGCTCGCCGGCAACTATCGTAAACCAGAAAGACCAGTGAAAAGTAAGGAAGGCAAAGTAATCAGCAACACTGAACAACAGCGAAATAGGTGGGTAGAGCAATTTCAGGAACTCCCGAATCGACCAGCGCCACTGAACCCACCCAACATTGAAGCAGCATCCACGGACCTCCCAATTAATATTGGTGCACCTACGATTGAGGAGATCAGTATTGCCATCAGACAAATCAAGAACGGCAAAGCAGCAGGACCAGACAACATTCCAGCAGAGGCAATTAAAGCAGATGTGGAAGCAACTGCGAAAATATTTCACATTCTCTTCAAGAAGATTTAGAATGAAGAACAAGTACCATCAGATTGGAAAGAAGGATACCTCATCAAAATACCAAAGAAAGGCGATCGCAGCAAGTGTGAAAACTACAGAGGCATCACTCTTCTTTCCATACCAGGCACAGTCTTCAACAAGGTATTGTTAAACAGAATGAAGGACTTTGTAGACGCCCAACTTCCAGATCAACAAGCCGGATCGATCATGTACTGACCAAATTGCTACATTACGGATCATTGTGGAACAATCAATTGAATGGAACTCACCACTCTACATCAACTTCATCGACTACGAGAAAGCATTCGATAGCGTGGATAGGAAAACACTGTGGAGGCTTCTTCGACACTACGGTGTGCCTGAGAAAATAGTTAACATCATACGGAATTCTTATGATGGATTCAACTGCGAAATCGTACACGCAGGACAGCTAACATACTCTTTCGAGGTGAAGACCGGTGTCAGGCAAGGTTGCTTACTCTCACCCTTTCTATTTCTCCTGCTCATCGACTGGAATATGAAGACGTCGACATCTGAAGGGAAGCACGGTATCAACTGGACAGTTAGGATGCAGCTGGACGATCTGGACTTCGCAGATGACCTGGCTCTTCTATCGCATACGCAACAACAAATGCAAGAGAAGACAACCAGTGTAGCAGCAGCCTGTGCAGTAGCAGGTCTCAACATACATATAGAAAAAGCAAAATTCTCCGATGCAACACAACATCCACCAGCCAAATCACTCTTGATGGAGATGCCTTGGAGGATGTTAACACCTTTACATATCTGGGAAGCATCATCGACAATCAAGGTGGATCCGATGCAGATGTGAGGGTGCGGATCGGCAAAGCAACGGCTGCATTTCTACAGTTGAAAAATAGCTGGAACTCCAAACAAATATCAACTAACACCAAAATCAGGATTTTGAATACAAATGTCAAGACGGTTCTACACTATGGAGCGGAAACTTGGACAGCTATCAAAGCCATCATCCAGGAGATAAAAATATCTATTAACAGCTGTCTACGCAAAATGCTTCGGATCCGTTGGCCAGACACCATCAGCAACAACCTACTGTGGGAAAGAACAAACCAGATCCCGACGGAGGAGGAAATCAGTAAGAAGCGGTGGAAGTGAATAGGACACAGACTACGAAAAGCACCTAATTGCGTCACGAGACAAGCCCTCACATGGAACCCTCAAGGCAAAAGGAAAAGAGAAATACCAAAGTACACATTACGCCGAGAAATAGAGAAAAAACATGAGAAGAATGAACAAAAATTGGACAGAACTGGAAAGCAAAGCCCAAGAGAGATTTGGTTGAAGAAAACTGGTGAGCGGCCTATGCTCCGTTTTGGGGGTAAGTAACAGGCGTAAGTAATTAAAGCTAAGAGTTATTCTTCAACTGAATTCAACTGTTATTCCAAAATAAATTTGACAATACTTTTCAACTATAACTTACCATAATTTTCCAAGCCACATCGTCGAATGGATCACTTAGCTGACAAAAAAAAATAAAGACAATATACATAAGAAAATGAAATATTATTATACTTTTCATCATCCATAAGATTGTACAGATTGTGTTTTATTCAAAATCTTCAATCGATCAATGTTTGGGACCATCATTCGAAATATGAACGAACTAACAGTCTAATATGCTTGAAGATTTTCTATGCTGGTCTGATATTAATCAATTCATAATTTCAGCCTATATGTACAATGAATATAGATTTGTCTAGAATGTATATTACCCAATGCCATTCAAATTGATGCAAAGAAAAAGAAACTCAAGTGGACATAGATCCACATTGTCACCCACATCATCAGTACAATGAAATGAAACGATTAAAATAAACATCAAACTGGTCGATGTGTGGCAAAGAGAGTAAACTGTAGCGATAAACAACCACAACTACTACACACCTGATCATTAGTTCAAGTGCCAATGCAAGCCAATTGCTAAAGCGAGCGGGGTAGAATCACATCGTAAACATGCTTGCATTGTTGCTTACGGTGGTCAGAAGACTCTGCATTTTGTCATTTTAGCTTAAATCTCAGTCAATCTAATTGCTAAAACTGGCCCACTATTGTTAAAAATCTCAAGGATTAACCTATCAGGATCCGCTAACCCCCTTCGCCTCAGATTGCCTATAACCTTTTCAAACTCAAGAACACTTGCAGCACTGAAATCGACTAGCCATTCGGGTTGACTGAAGATCGTGTGTAACCGAAATGTGACTGAAGGCCAGCTCAACCGCTCTATTAAATGTTCTAACCATCGATTCAGCCTCCTGGAGTGATAATAAGTAATATTCCAGTCTTTTTTTAAAGATATTCTCGCCAACAGTTGAATACCTAATGCCGTTTCCTTGATAAGTCTGAATAGTTATCTAATGCGATCATTACGTAGGCTTCTTATCAGCCTGCGCTTAATATGCCTCTGCTATTTACCATGTTTAAAGCTAGACGGGATAAGTTTCTAAGCATCTAACATTTCGGTAGATGCTACTGAAACCCATTATTTCTGCCTAACTTTAAGGTTTACCTTACTGGCAGATATCAATTCTGTTTGCACAGCCCTTTGGATAACATTTCAAGCTGCTTCGGAGTGTTGCCTGTTTTTCTAGTTGCCCCTGAAATATACACTTGGCCTTGTTATTGTTAAGCATAACTCTTAAGTATTTCAAAGCTGATTTTTTCTTACATTCAGTAAGATGCGGACAAATATGAGCTCGTACTAGAGTATGATCTAAACCTAAACATGTACTTCAGCCTGAGCGACAGTCTTCAAATGAGCCTGTCAATCGGTGATTGATAGCGATGTGGTCTAGTTGTGTGGAGTTTTGAAATGACTTAGAGGGTTGCCATGTCAAAACATGTTTTTCCTTGAGCTTCAAGTTAGTATTTCCTAAATATAGGCAGTTATTTGAGCATAGCAACAGCAGTCATTGTGACTAATCAGCCACGATGTTCAGTCATTCTTCCTAAATGCTAATTCCTGAAATCGGTGGATAGAGCCGTGACAATATCAAACCATAACAGGGCATTAAAGCAAAACACCAGTATATATTTTGAATCATGAAAGAGCATGTAAGAAGCAGGAAAGCATAAATAACCGAATCAAAGGGTGAGTAAAACTCTATATCTTACGTTAAGATTCAGTCACAAGACCTCGCACCAAAAACCTCATCATTTTAGTTCTAATCAGTCGCTTAATTACTTCCTATTTATTTTTATTCTCAGACCAAATGCTACAGACGGTTGCAAATTGGACCTGTCAATCACAGTTAGCTCATCAGAAGATGGAAAATAGAATATAAACAACCACAAAACTATTTGCTCACACAGGTTTGAATGTTGCACAACTGAATGACAAACATGTATTTTAATGCAGAAAGAAAAACACATCTAATCGAAACAGAACATATTAAAGAGAATTACCTTACGTTTTTCAGCTTTCCCCTGTAGACGTTCGTCAGACATCTGTAAAAAGAGAATTATTATCTTAGGAAAATACAAATTGTCAAATAGAAATGAGAGAAGTATGAGCCACTTGTATTGTCTTTATTTACCTATTTTTCTTTTACAGTGGAGATAGCACTAAAGCAATATTACAAAATGGGGCATATTGAATCCAAAACTCACAAAATACAGATTAACATGTAGAACAAACATGATTAATATTCAATTAACCGATCATGACAAAAACATGAAGCTCAAAAATTCAACACCAAACAATTAACCATTACACAGATAATATAAAAGTTAATGAGATAATAAGTTAGCCAGCTACAACGTACAACTTCATACGTACGTACATCAATTCAAGTTGCCATAACATATTAGTACAGAGAGGTAATTGTCAATTCAAATCCCATTATAGTAAAGGTAGCAAAAATATTAGAGAAAATGGAAAAGATCAAGGATGGAGATCGTTCAAGAAGTATAATCCAGAAACACTTGGTATTTGCAGTTCAATTCTGTCAGTTAGATTTTCAGCTTGTTGCGGAAGGCTTGAAGGTCCGAAAGAGCTTAGTACACGCTCACTGTTTAGATTATCTGACTGTTCTCGCAATGATCACACACATGAATCCGTCGGCACGTGAAGCTTTTGAGCTGTGAACAGAGAATGCGTTCATGCTAAGTATTGGCAGGAATTTTCATCAAACAACTTAATGACCAGTATCCGAGAGGACATTTTTTTGTTTAAGTTTTATTCATGCAGCTAAGAGCATCAATCTGTCCGTTATTGGAAGAAGCACCAGCTAGAGATTTCACGAGTACGAATAACCCATAGAACTGTTAATTTTTTTTTGGACACTTTGCATAACTATTTACGAAACCAAACACTGCTTTAATGCGTTTGGGCAAACCGAATTCGTTTGTACGATAACCACATAAGGCTGTATTCATGACGGGTACTAGTAACCACAGGCTTTCAACTTCCATCAAAGATATTAATGAATGCAAGCAGAGAAATTCAAGAGAATCTGAGCAAGCAGGTTCCCAAAATCTTTGGGAGAGATTGACGTTCCTTCATTATGATTTGCATCAGCAATATAACGAGTAAGGGCTTCTAAAATGTATTGAAACGACCAGAAATCTAACCTGATTAATCAGTTCTACTGAACGATTACACAAATCAGTGACTTCAACATCGACTACCGGTGGTATTAAGCACATTAACGTGTTTGAATCAACAAAAAATTGATATCAGGATCTGTGGGGTGACTTATTCTAACCGGTTGAGCACCCGATAAACGTGAACATACCATGAATAGATCTAGTAACGGTCAAATCTTATTGTATGAGCACCTGCAACTGCAATATTTAGTAGGTTTGCGTTTAGCCTTGTATGATGAGGTAGTGAGGAGCAGTACGTGGCGTTACCTGGAAGAGAAAAGATTAAGCGAAAAATCAAGACAGCGATTCAGCAGGCACACAGAATGCACTTAAAATGATTAAAGAAAACGATCAACAACCACAAACAATACAAATATGAGACTTAGACAAACTGATAATTGTAACTACAAATCGGTAGCGTACACTTTTGAATGTGTTACATACTTGTAAATCCAGCCTTTGATTAATTTGCTTCTGACTATCCAATAACTTTTACACTAGCTAGTGTAAACCAATCGACTTCTTTACACTTGAATCTTGTTCTTCTGTGGTGTTTGAATGAACTAGTAACTTCTTGTTGTTGTGAAATGCTTGATTTCGAATTCTAAATACAATACATTCGGTTGGGCAAATCTTTAATTCTTGATTCATATACTTCTAAGCATCACAGTGGCGTCGCGAGCAGGATCTTGTAATGGAACAGCTAGATATTCATTCTACTTCTGAAGCTTTCGAAGATTATTTGGAAAGGTTTGAAATCTGGAGTATGACCAGGAAAGATGTCAAAGATGATAAAATTGTGGCTCATTTCCTAACATTCATCGGAAAAGAAGCGTACAGCTTATTGAAAACCTTGGCATATCCAGAAAAACCTATTTCACTTCCCTATGCAATGCTTAAGGAGTTATTATTGAATCATGTAAAGTGCCCTGGTTTTGAATGCCGTGAAAGAGCGAAATTTCATAAGATGATTCGTCAAAATGACCAGAATGTTAAGGAATTCATTCTTGAATTGCAGAAACAGGCTGTCAAATGTAATTTTGGCGATCAACTTCATGTGCAGCTGAGAGACCGATTAATTGCAGGAATTAACATACCTAGTTTGGAAAGAGAGCTGTTAAGAATGTCAAACTGTTCCTTTCAAGATGTTAGAACTGCGTGCATTAACTACGAGGCGTTGAATGAACTTGATATTCAGTCGATGAAGATTTCCAATACTTTGATTAGTTGTCATGATGAAAAGCAATCTCAGGGTCAATCAAAATTGTGTTCGTTTATCAGAGGTTCCTATTCTCGTGTAAAAATGAACGGTGTCTC